TTTACAGGTAACACGGAATCGTATGTCAGGGATTCTACACATTTTGTGGAATCGGTAAAAGGTGTAAAGCTGGATGCTGGGGATATGTTGGTAAGTTTCGATGTGGAATCCCTTTTTACTAGGGTACCAGTTAAGGATGCTGTAGAGGGTCTTCGCCGAAAACTCATTCCGGAGGGTTTACCAGGATACGTGCCAGATCTGGTGGAGTATTGCTTATCGTCGACGTATTTCAGCTGGAAAGGAGAATTTTACGAGCAGTTCGAAGGGGCAGCCATGGGGTCTCCACTATCGCCAGTTATAGCTAACACTTCGACCCTGTTTCTGAAGAAGATTGCAACATGGCATCCGAAACGTCAAACCTTTTATTAAAAGACGCACGGCAAAACCCGAAAGTTTTTAGTGTTGGTTCTAGTTTTAGTTTAATTCACACCGGCCGTGAAAGCCTTCGTACTTACAAGAAAAAATTATTAAAAATTAATTTTTTATAAATATTTTGCAAATTGTAATAAATTAGTATAAAAAATATATTTTATAAATTACTTGTTGTTCCAATGTTTGTATCTTATTTCAATACGAATTTGGGGCGCCAAAAATGAGTTCGCACCCCGGCGATTGTTTACCACGGTGCGCCACTGTCTCTTAAGCTCTCTTCCCCTTATTAATCATAACGGATTAATGTTTTATTATACTAATTTTATTATAATTGTATTTCAGTTACTGGTTCAACTGACGATGGGTTTTTAGAAGGAACCCAAAAATGCGGCGGTGGAAAATCGGGAATTTTCCCAGCACATTGCGTTCAAGAAGTCAAATTTAGACATCACAACATACACGCGCCGATGATGATCGCGGGTGATGCGCGCGTCCCAACTCCCAGAACTGATGGTGGGAGAGTTTTGGGACGAAGAGAAAGCACCAAATACTTTGCGACGGCACCAAGACTGAAAAAATCGTATCCGTGTGTTAACGCGGAACCCCGTACAGTTGTCCTTCATAAGGGCCGAAAGGGTTTTGGATTTATCCTACGCGGTGCCAAAGCGACATCACCCCTAATGGATTTAACCCCATCGGAAAGATGCCCCGCTTTACAATATTTAGACGACGTCGATCCCGGGGGAGTTGCCGACATCGCGGGGTTAAAAAAAGGCGATTTCTTATTAGAAATTAACAGCGAAGACGTTTCTTCAGCATCACACGAACACGTCGTTGATCTTATAAGAAAATCAGGAAATTTAGTTGCGATGACGGTCGTTTCGTTAGGTTCCACAACAATTAGAGCCCTCCCCAACAGTAAATCAACAATTTTACCAGGCGGAAACTCCGAAGTTTCATTAAGTAGACAATACGCAACTTTACCAAGGAAATTACACAACACTAACAATAATTGCGGAACCTTAGGGAGATCCCAAGCACCTTTACCGCCAAGAAGAGACCCAAAAACCACGTTAAGCGTGGGAAGAGCTCGCGCAAAAAGTTTAGTGGCAGGATTGGAAGCCGCCGATAAAGAAGAAAACGAAGATATCACCAAATCCAGTTCAGCAGAATCAATTCATCAAAACACCACAACAAACTCGACAAACTCAACTCCAATCCAACCAAGAACCGCTTCAATCCGACAACGACCCGTTTCGAGTCGAATAACTTCGGCGGAACTCGAAGAACTTTTCCAAAGACAAAAAGGTGGTGAAACAACTACTTTAATGGGAACTTCAAATTTCCAATCTTCAGGTTACAACACTTTGAGTCACCCGAGTTCCCCCGCTAAAGGGAGAGTTTACGCGAGCGTCGCGGAAATGAAACGAAGTAAAAGTAAAAATTCCAAAGTTAGATTTACGAATCCTTTCTTTCCTGGAGGTGGAGAATTACGCAGGGATTTTCACAGCACTCCCGATCTCGCCCAACAATCTTCCGCAACTTTACCCAAACACCACCGAAGTCAAGAAGATGTAAACCTTGTAGATAGAGGAAGAAATATGTTACCACCACCAACACACCCTCCCCCACCACCCCCGCCACTCGTCCAAGTCGTTAAAGTCGACATCTCTCGAGGAAATCAATCCGAGTACGATAATTACACAAACGGAAACAAAGATAACAAAACTGACGAAGGTAAATTAATTTTTAAAAACGCTTCTCACCCCTCATCTTATCTTTTTTCTCTTCTTTCATTTTCATGCACGTTCAGGCATCATCTCCTCTTTCAAACCAACGGTGAGCGCCAAACTGTACGCTTCGCCGGAAGATATGCGTACGGTCGGGTACAGATCGCGAAGTTTACCAGCTCACGTGACGCGAACTCACGTACGCAAAGCTCACAGCATGCGCACCCATCCATCCACGTTTAAGCCGACAACCGCTACTTTGTCGGGTTCCATGACGACCGGTACAAGAACGAATCCTTACGCGCAACCGATAAGAGCATCTCGTTCGCACTCCTCCGCCGGCTCCAAGGAGCGTAAAAAACGCACGCACACCCCGAAAGCTACGCCTTTAAATCAAGGGTTAACGTCTTCAGGGGTTGCACCACCTCCCATTCCAGAGCCGGATTATAGTTGTAGCGATTCCGAACGTTCCGATGAAGAAGATGTTAAAGATATGACGAAATTAGCTTCGAGATTAAATCAGATTCAATTACAACCAGTTGAAAATAGTGGAAATAGTAATACGAGGTGAGATTTTTTTTGTTGTTTAATTGGTTGCATAATTTGTAGATAGAGTTTTGTATTTAATTGTGTTTTGAGATATAACACATCTTATGTTAGATTTAATTATAATATTGTTTCTCACCATTTTTATTATTGTTGTGCTGTATGTATGCGAAAAAAAATGCTTTAGAGTCTAACCAAAAGAAAAGATTTGAAAGGCGATGATGAAAAGAATTTAGCACAAAGGATGTGGAAAAACTGCAGAGGTTTGAAGTTGGTAATCGAAGAATCCGGAATGGTTCTAATGATTTAATGTTGAAAGTTTGAAATAAAATTAAAACTAGAAACTATCGCTCGGAAGTTTCTAATTTTAGTTTTATTTCTAATAACACCAACCTTGAAAGCTTACGAACTTATAGTAAAAAAATCTGACTTGTGGATATCGCAGACAACAATAGTTGATTAAAGTGCAATGAAGATAATTAAAACTGCATAAAACTGCAAAAGCTGGAGATTGCCAATCGGAAGACCAACTTCCAATGTTTGCGGTTTTCCCAGAGCTTTGTTGCCAGGTTTTTTTGGACATCGCATTCCATTTTCGATGCAAAAGGAAAAATGCTTCAGAGTATAACCGAAAGAAAAGATTCGAAAGGCGATGACCGAAAAGAACTTGGCACCAGGGATATGGAAAGACCGCAAAGGCTGGAAGTTGGCAATCGAAGAATCTGGAATGGTTCTAATGATTTAATGTTGAAAGTTTGAACTAAAATTACAGACAATACAGTGGACAATTACACTGTGGACTAGACAATTACAGTGGTACAGCCACGTGAATCTGATTTATATACAGGGTAAGTTTATTTATTTATTTATTTATTCATATTCGGGACACGTACAGGAAAAAATCCCAAAAAAGTGTCCACTACAATAATATAAAAGAAAAGAAAACAGACTACATAAGAAAGAACAAAAAAAAAACTAAAAAATTTATCAAAAGCATGAAACAATAAAATTAAATCAGCAAGCACGAAGCAGAAAAGAAAATAAACACAGAGACTGGATTGGTCCACATAATCATCGATATTACACGCATAAAAAAACAAAATAAAAAGGACCATAAGAAAGGACAAATTTATGTTGCTTTTCTTTTCTGCCCCACCACCCGCAAGAAATCAATATAAATATGGTAAACGAATGTGTTTCGATCGAGTAAATTAATTTTACAAAGAAAAACTAATGACAAATACTTAAAGTTAAAACGGATTTTTTAAACGACATCATTGAATTACAAAAGAAATCAACATTGAAACAATAAACATTGCAAGTGTGCATCAGTCTCAACAGAGGTGAACAGGCATGCGCACTCGATCCAAAAGCAGGTAGTCTGAACAAAAATGGTGATCGAGTAGCATAAGAAGAAACATTAAAGTGAATCTGCTCTAAAAGAACCGGAGCGTCGAGAACTCCATTAACTAGTTTGAACAGGAACAATAGGTCCGTACTGTGTCGACGGCCACAGAGAGATCTTAGACCAAACACCTGGCATCTTTGGGAATAAGGGCAGTACGGAAGATAAAATTTGTGAGCAAGATAACGGATAAATCTTCTCTGTAGGCCCTCAATAAGGTCGATGTAAATATTATAGGCAGGACTCCATACTACTGAAGCGAAATTTAAACCGCTAGCAACGTATGCCATATATAAAGAAGTAATGCAGCGGACGTTTGTAAATGGACGAGAAATCCTAATGATAAATCCTAGGCGCTTAGTAGCTTCAGAAACGATAGAAGTAATATGATCGCAATAGAGTAGTCTAGAATCCAGAACAATGCCAAGATCTTTAACTGAAGAGGATTGAGTAAGATAATGCGGACCTATCATATATTTGAAGTTAACATTATATCTCTTTCTACTGAACGTGATCTGACAACACTTATCAGGATTTAGAAATAAGTAATTTTGTGAGCAATAAGAATCAAATCTGTCAATGTCATCTTGCAACCGAATACAGTCAGAAGCAGACCTGATGCTAGCAAAAATTTTACAGTCATCAGCGAAAAGAGAAAAATTCGAATAATGAAAGCACTCAGAAACATCATTTATATAGGCTAGAAATAAAATAGGTCCAAGATGGCTACCTTGAGGTACACCAGATGTAACAGGAGTAAAACTAGATATGAAATTATTTACTTTCACTGCTTGAAATCTCTTAGATATATAGGACGAAATCCATAGAGACAGCCCGTTAGATAGGTTAAACTTGTTCAGCTTATCCATAAGAATGTTATGGTGAAGCTTGTCAAAAGCTTTCGTCAGATCGGTGTAGATAGCATCCACCTGAGAGTTATCATTCATAGAATCCTGAATGTATTGAACAAACGCAACCAGATTCGTCTCAACTGATCGCCCACGCAAAAAACCGTGTTGTTGAGGGATAATAGCAGGTCGAAGATAGCTATATAAGTTGTCATAAATTAATTTTTCAAAGACCTTGGAAACAATGGATAATAGGGAAATTGGACGATAGTTGCACACAAAATGTCTGCTACCCGATTTAAAGACTGGAGTTATGAAGGCTTTTTTCCATTCAGAGGGAAAGACTGAATTTTCAATGGAGCGGCTGAAGATAATGAATAGAGGAGTTATTAGTATCAGGACGATAGTTGCTAAACCGTTTGAGCAAGAAAAAAATGTTTTCTACAAAAGTTGTCTATTACGTAAAATCATTTTCTCTTATACAGGTTGTTTCATATAGGCGTAACGGAGAGTATGTAGATTTTTTTAAATGAAACACCCTGTATATTTTATCATATTATGAATAGCATTAAATTTGTTTATACAGCCGTATATAATAATAATAATAATAATAGTTTATTGACATAACAATACAATATAGGTAATACATTAAAATAATTAAGTATAGAGTTTGCCAAAGGGTATTTCCATCAGTAAGCCAAATTATGGCGTCCTGGTCTTCCCGGAAATCCCATACACAAAAAAAAAGAAATATATAAAAAAAAACTAAATAAAGTAATAACAAATCAAAATTAAATTCAACCTGAAACAATTATTAATTAAAATGAGGAGTCTAAACAAATAAAAATTAATAAATGTCCCTAACAAACTACAAAGAAAAAAAATATATATATATACACTAATTCGAGTTGAAGGTAGAACGACGCGCTAGTCATTAAGCAATTTAGAGACTCTTTAAAAGTGCGAAACGATGGTTGAGCAAAAAGCAGACTGTACTTATTCAAAATACATGCCGCGTTATAACTAAAAGACCTCTTGAACAATTGGGTACGGTGACGAGGAATGTCAATGAGGTCCTTACGCCGTACATTAATATTATGAATGTCCGTTCTGTAAGTAATTTTGTTGGTGAGGTAAGGTGGTAGCTTACTTGACACAACTTTATAAAGAAAACAACCAAAATGTAACTGACGACGACTTGACATACTCAGCCACTTCAACTCCCCCAGCTTATACGATACTCTCTGACGTCGGCGTATACCAAATATAAAACGAATACAAGAATTCTGAACTACCTGAATACGTCGCGCATCATCAGTCAACAGGCAGTGGCCGTAAATTGTGTCACAGTATGTAAAGTTGGATAAAATTACAGACTCGCAAAGATTCTTTTTAATATCGGCGTTCAAGACTTGCCTATGAGCAAACAGCATTTTCAATTTTGCGTAAGCACGCCTGATCAGTTCACTTGTGTTACGTGTAAACCTTAAGCTGTCGTCAATGTAAAGACCAAGATCCTTGACACAGACCTTCCTCTCCAATTCAATTCCATCTATAAAGATATGGGCCATATTGCTGACAAGCGCTTTGGATTCCCTACCCCCGAATACCATATAGACCGATTTATTCCCATTTATCATATGTTACTAACTCATAGCGTTCATAGTTCTTAAGATATTCAATTGTTTTTCTAAAATATGTCCATTGCAGCATCGTTTTAAAAACGATGTAAAAACGACATTTTTTCCAATTTTGCCTTCAAACTATGTAAATGATAGTATTCAAAGATATACAGCGTGTTAATAAAGCTTAGTTACTTTTGATGTTTTTCAAATGGATTTTTCATAAGTTTTTTAAATGGAACATCCTGTATATTTTGTTCTGGTTGAATTGCCTATCAAGTTACCTTTAATTAATGATAAGTATGTCATATATCTAACTTTAGTAGTTTTCCTGATATTTAAAATTTAAAGAATAATGTGTAACAAAATATACGTTATTGTACTTAATATTATATTCTGTCTATGTTTATCAGTTTTTTTTGTTCTTCCTTTTATTATTTGATTAATATTTTATAATGTAAAATAATTTTGCTGCCATATACCAGATTTTAATGTGACTTGGTACTTTATGGGATTTTAAAAAGATGTAATTAATAAAATATGCAATTGTTCTGCCATATAAATTACAAGTTTAGAGAAAATAAGATGCACATGCTTATAGAAGAGAAAATGGGCTCATTTTGAACAAGTTCTAAATATTACTTAAATTAATACCTACTTGTTGAGCAACGTTTAGTAATTGTTTATAATAATAATAATAATAAAGGTCTTTATTTCTCTCTAAACCAAACACAATTAGAATTACATAATCGACGAAGGGCGAGGTTCAGCCAGAGGACTGATCTTCCACCTAACCCTTCAAACGTAAAAAGAAACATAAAAAATTATAAAAAAATATACAAAAAAATATATATATATATATATACAAAAAGGGACTAAATTTAAGAAATAAAAAATAAAAAAAATAAAAGGATAGCAAAATGAAAAATCAAATTGGTAAATAAATTATTAAATTATTAAATTCATATAGAATGGTATTCCTGGTGCTCACATTGCTGAGTCAGCAAATAGCGATGTAATTTGTTTTTAAAATTTTGGTTACCTAATTGACGGAGTTCTGTTGGCAATTTATTCCAAATTAATGACACATTGTACGTGAAAGAGTGTTTGAAAGATTCTGTTCTACGTTTTGGTACATCTAATAGTCCCCGATATCTGACATTGATGATTATAGTTTGTTGCTGAATTTCCTTCAAATAAATTAGGAATTAAAAAAGGGATTTATTGATCTGCCATTTAATTCTATGTTTTGTATTTTTATCACGTTTTGATTATTTAAGTATGAAAATTTGTTCTTAAACTGTATTTTAATATAATATTACTGATCTACAAATGACAGACAAACAAAAAAGAAAAATCAAAAAAAAGTGACAAAAAAAGGACAGAATATATTACATTCTGTCACTTTTTTAAGTACAATAATGATATTTTATCACACATTTTTCTTTAAATTCTAAATATCAGGATATATTAAAGTTAGACGTATGACATACTTATCATTAATTAAAAGGAACTTGATTAGCAATTCAATTAGCACACAATATACAGGCTGTTCCATTTAAAAAACTTAAGAAAAAGCCATTTGAAAAACGTCAAAGTAACTTTGTTTCAAGGCAAAATCGGAAAAAATGTCGTTTCTACATTTCGTTTTTAAAAAGATCCTGTAATTGGTACATTTTAGAAGAACAATTGAATATCTCAGGAACTATGAACGCTGTGAAATAGTAACATATATGGTTATATAAACAAATTTAGTTGTATTCATAACATGATAAAATAAACAGGGTGTTAAACTTAAATAAATTGACGTATTCTCCGTTACGTTTAAATGGAACAACCTGTATAAGTGAAAATAATTTTACGTAGTAGAATGTAATGAGTTAAATAACTTTTTTGTAATTCGCGACGGTAATGAAAGCTATTACAGTACTCAAACGGGTGCTGTAATGACACTCTTTACAGCATCCGATGCTGTAATGAGATTTTAGTAACATTTTATGGAATCAGTTCAAGTTGGTGACATTGGGTCATTAATTTTTCTAGTTGTCAATGTGACAATGTTTGTCTATGGATGTTTAAACACGTTCTTAACTTTGAATACAAGGTCCACAATGATAAGGACATTGAACTCTGAGCAATTTCTCTTATTTTGGAAGGTGTACATCAAACATTTTTATCAGGTGAATACGTTTGTGTTTTGACAGTTTCTATTTGTCAATTCAAATTTCTATTTNACTTACATTCTGTTTTACAATTTGAAAACAAGTGGACAATCACGTACGACTAGGCGATATCGTATTACCGCTCGTCAGCGTAAAAAATAGAAAATGAAATGAAATTAATTAAAAAATAAATTGGTCGGTTTATAACACATTAATGTTTGTAGAAGAGAAAATGGGTGGCATTTTGAACAATTTCTAAATATTAATTAAATTAATACCTACTTGTTGAGCAACGTTTAGTAATTGTTTATAGTTTGTTGCTAAATTTCCTTCAAATAAATTAGGAATTAAAAAAGGGATTTATTGATCTGCCATTTAATTGTATGTTTTGTATTTTTATCACGTTTTGATTATTTAAGTTTTAAAATTTTTTCTTAAACTGTATTTTCATATAATATTACTGATTACTGATCTACAAATGACAGACAAACAAAAAAAAGGACACTTTTTTAAGTACAATAATGATATTTTATCACACATTTTTCTTTAAATTCTAAATATCAGGATATATTAAAGTTAGACGTATGACATACTTATCATTAATTAAAAGGAACTTGATTAGCAATTCAACTAGCACCCAATATACAGGCTGTTCCATTTAAAAAACTTAAGAAAAAGCCATTTGAAAAACGTCAAAGTAACTTTGTGTCAAGGCAAAATCAAAAAAATATTGTGTCTACATTTCGTTCTTAAAAAGATCCTGTAATGGGCACATTTTGGAAGAACAATTGAATATCTCAGGAACTATGAACGCTGTGAAATAGTAACATATATGGTTATATAAACAAATTTAGTTGTATTCATAACATGATAAAATAAACAGGGTGTTAAACTTAAATAAATTGACGTATTCTCCGTTACGTTTAAATGGAACAACCTGTATAAGTGAAAATAATTTTACGTAGTAGAATGTAATGAGTTAAATAACTTTTATATAAAATATTTTTTTGTTTTTCAAACGGTTTAGTATCGGGATACTAATAACTCAACCTGTATATAAGTCTGCAAAAGCTAGAGGTTGGTAAGTCCAGCCTTTGCGGTTTTCCCCTGTCGCCAAATTCTTTTTGAACATCGCCTTTCAAATCTCCGATTCATGCTATACATATATATAAATATATATATATATTGATAAATTAATTTATTTAACGTTTTTTAGTGGAAGTAGCTCCGGAAGTAGCTCTTTACCACATAGTTTTAGCGTTGAAGAAATTCAAAAAGGAAGGTCTTTATTAAAATCATCAAAATCGTACCCGGATGATTTCCTAAAGAAAAAAGAGATTGAAATGGGTGTTTTAGAAGATGGAGATAACAGCTCATCGGGTGTTAGTTCCGATCAAGAAGTACCATCAGCAACCACCGGGGATCTTAACGAACGCATATCCCACGACCAAAGCATACATTCAACCACAAAAACACAAAGACCACAAATAGGTACTTTACGCACTTAAATCGTAATCGATCATTTTGTTTTTAATTAATTCTTTTTAGGTTTAACTCGCCATGCAGTATCTTTAGCTCAACTCCCACCACCTCTCGAAGCCGAAACCGAAGAAAAAGAGGAGTTTTGTCTTCCACCTCCGCCGGAATTCGGTGAACATCATGGTGGTGGGGTCGTTTCCGACGTTCCGGAAGCGGTTTTGGCTCCTCCGCCGCAATTCAGTGATAGTCGACAGGTGACCCGTGTTCGAATAGTGGGGGCCGTACCGAAAGGAGCGGGCCCTCAAGTTCTTGCGAAGTCGTCTCAACCGAAGATGAAACAGGGAAGACTTCATAGTCAGTGATCTTAAAGTTAATTTATTAATCTAGATTTAGGTAGTTATTATTACGCAAACGACTCACTCACACACAAATCGACACGTTCATTAAAAATAAATATCGATATTAGCATACATATTGTAACATTGAAAAGGATGATGATGGAAAAGATATTAAAATGAAGCGAAAATGTAGTCAATTGATTTATTACACGGTATTATATGTATAATTTTTTGTTCGAATAATAGGAAACGATGTTTTTCTTTTTGGTGCATCTTATCTTCAATAAAAAAATAATAATACCAAAATTATGGTGTAATAAAGTTTTTTATTGAACTTGTATTGTTAAAAAAAGATTATTCCGATATTTACTCGTAATTTAATCCGTCTTGGTTACTGTAAAACTCATTCCTGCCAAAAGTAAAAAAAAATAAAATATTAATACCTTGAGAATATATATAATATATATTTATTGAATAAAAGATTGTTTTTTAAATGTATCGATACTTGCATTAAACTAGTAAAAGAAAAATTAAGACGTATCTCAAATTCTTTGCTTCGTTTTCAATTTCCTATTTCTTTATAATTAAATTGGCCTATAGAAAGTGTTTATATTTTCTAACCGCAGTATTTATATGCTCAATAAACGTATTATCGATAAACGCAATATGTATATATTTAAGATAAAAAATATTAAAATATTCCGGCAGTTTTTTTTTTGTATAATAAAATTTTGTACTCGTATTTCGATTAGCTAAAGAAAGAGCATAACACGTAGGGAAACTAAACTGATTAACTAAACTGATCATTCTATCATAAACATTAAATTACAATAATATTGACTTGAAACGCTCCTTACTTTGTACCTTATTAGCCGGTAACTCTTAAAGCATGCAAACGTAAAAACAAACTCTTGTGATTCAAACGATTTTTAATATTATAGCGAGTTCACTAAATCCTTCCCATAGAATCCAACATTGTAATAAACACATTCACTCACGTCAAATTCAAATTAAAAAAGAATACGTCGACGAGATCATTTCTTCGTGATCGTGACTTGAACCAGATTTGAGAATTAAAGTAAAAAAACCGTTTTTGCACTTTACTATGTTAATAATAAAGACGAAAGTATTAATGTCAAGTAATACGCTGGGCAGATTGCAAATTTCTTTTGTATATAATAAATAATACGACATAGCAAATTGAGTTTCATTTTAATTAATTTCTTCAATTAATTATTTAAAGGTTTGTTATATGGTATAGGAAGGTTAAAGATTAATACAAAAAATTCTTCCATATAAATATTTTTTCTTATAGAAATTCAGTTCGATTTATTATGTAAAATAATTCGTAGAAAAATATCAGTCTTAAAACAAAGTAACTTAACAATATCTCATCATAACATTCTCGTAACAATTGACTTAAAGTCTTAAGATTCCACCGTTTCTTTATCCGGAAGCACCTTCTTGTCGTTTACGCGCGAAATGAATTTTAAGATATTTTGGATCTTATCCTCCGTTGATTGTTGAGTTACCAAAAGCTCTTCTTGTTCAACTTGCTGAGTTTTTAAGGTGATCGTCAATTGGGAGTGTTTATCTTGTAAACGAGTTAATTCGGCACTCAAATTTTTTTTCTTTTCCAAAAGAGCATTTTTTTCTTGAATTTTATCTAATAATAAAAAAATAAATAATTAATTTATTAATTATTATTAAGGTAACAGGAAAATAATGTCATGGAAATAACACTAGACCTAGAACTAGAAATATTCTGGTTTAGCAGTCTTAAGAGACGTGAGGCTAAACCAGAATGTTTCTAGTTCTAGGTCTAGTGTTAGTTTTAGTGCTATAATTAAAATGAAACTAACACTAAACCTAGAACTAGAAACATTTGGGATTAACCTCACGTCTCTTAAGACGGCTAAACAAGAAACTTTCTAGTTCTAGGTCTAGTGTTAGTTCTAGTTTTAATTGTGATTCAATGCTAGGTTGTTATATATTTTTAGTGGACTAACACTAGATCTAGAAACATTCTAGTTTCGCCGTCTTAAGAGACGTGAGGCTAACCAGAATGTTTCTAGTTCTAGATCTATTGCTAGAACTAAAATGGAACTAACACTNCTAAACCTAGAAAGTTTCGGGCTTAGCTGTGCGTCTTCAGAGGTTGTGCTAGGTTTAGCTGTGCTAGGTTGTTATATATTTTTATTGAACTAACACTAAATGTAGAAGTAGAAACATTCTGGTTTAGCCGTCTTAAGAGACGTGAGGCTAAACCCGAATGTTTCTAGTTCTAGTGTTAGTTTTAGTACTAGAACTAAAACTAGAACTAACACTAGAACTAACACTAGAACTAACACTAGAGCTAGAAACATTCGGGTTTAACCATGCGTCTGAAGACGCACAATTAAACCCGAAACTTTCTAGTTCTAGGTCTAGTGTTAGTTCTAGTTTTAATTGTGATTCAGTGCTAGGTTGTTATATATTTTTATTGAACTAACACTAGATCTAGAACTAGAAACATTCTAGTTTAGCCGTCTTAGGAGACGTGAGGCTAAACCAGAATGTTTCTAGTTCTAGGTCTAGTGTTAGTTTTAGTGCTACACCTAACATGATGAAAATGAATATAAAACTAATATGAATATGAAACTAACACTAAACCTAGAACTAAAAACATTCTGGTTTAGCCGTCTTAAGAGATGTGAGGCTAAACCCGAATGTTTCTAGTTCTAGTGTTAGTTCTAGTTTNTGTTGAGTTACCAAAAGCTCTTCTTGTTCAACTTGCTGAGTTTTTAAGGTGATCGTCAATTGGGAGTGTTTATCTTGTAAACGAGTTAATTCGGCACTCAAATTTTTTTTCTTTTCCAAAAGAGCATTTTTTTCTTGAATTTTATCTAATAATAAAAAAATAAATAATTAATTTATTAATTATTATTAGGATGACAGGAAAATAATGTCATGTAACTAACACTAGACCTAGAATTAGAAATATTCTGGTTTAGCCGTCTTAAGAGACGTGAGGCTAAACCAGAATGTTTCTAGTTCTAGGTCTAGTGTTAGTTTTAGTGCTATAATTAAAATGAAACTAATACTAAACCTAGAATTAGAGACATTTGGGATTAACCTCACGTCTCTTAAGACGGCTAAACCCGAAACTTTCTAGGTCTAGTGTTAGTTCTAGTTTTAATTGTGATTCAATGCTAGGTTGTTATATATTTTTAGTGGACTAACACTAGATCTAGAAACATTCTAGTTTCGCCGTCTTAAGAGACGTGAGGCTAAACCAGAATGTTTCTAGTTCTATTGCTAGAACTAAAATGGAACTAACACTAAACCTAGAAACATTCGGGTTTAGCCTCACGTCTCTTAAGACTAAGGCTAAACCCAAATGTTTCTAGTTTTAAGTCTAGTGTTAGTTGTAGAACTCGAAGTAAAACTAGAACTAAGACTAGACCTAGAACTAGAAAGTTTCGTCTGAAGACGCACAGCTAAACCCGAAACTTTCTAGTTCTAGGTCTAGTCTTAGTTCTAGTTTTAATTGCGATTCAGTGCTAGGTTGTTATATATTTTTATTGAACTAACACTAGATCTAGAACTAGAAACATTCTGGTTTAGCCGTCTTAAGAGACGTGAGGCTAAACCAGAATGTTTCTAGTTCTAGGTCTAGTGTTAGTTTTAGTGCTATAATTAAAATGAAACTAACACTAAACCTAGAACTAGAAACATTTGGGATTAACCTCACGTCTCTTAAGACGGCTAAACAAGAAACTTTCTAGTTCTAGGTCTAGTGTTAGTTCTAGTTTTAATTGTGATTCAATGCTAGGTTGTTATATATTTTTAGTGGACTAACACTAGATCTAGAAACATTCTAGTTTCGCCGTCTTAAGAGACGTGAGCCTAACCAGAATGTTTCTAGTTCTAGATCTATTGCTAGAACTAAAATGGAACTAACACTAAACCTAGAAACATTTGGGTTTAGCCTCACGTCTCTTAAGACGGCTAAACCCAAATGTTTCTAGTTTTAAGTCTAGTGTTAGTTGTAGTACTCGAAGTAAATCTAGAACTAAGACTAGACCTAGAACTAGAAAGTTTCGTCTGAAGACGCACGGCTAAACCCGAAACTTTCTAGTTCTAGGTCTAGTCTTAGTTCTAGTTTTAATTGTGATTCAGTGCTAGGTTGTTATATATTTTTATTGAACTAACACTAGATCTAGTTCTAGATTCTGGTTTAGCCGTCTTAAGAGACGGGATGCTAAACCCGAATGTTTCTAGTTCTAGGTCTAGTGTTAGTTTTAGTGCTACACCTAATATGATGAAAATGAATATACAGGGTGGTTCAGTTTTTAATCCGGAAACTTTACTAGGATGTAGTACTTGCCAAAATAATACAAGNGACATTACTTTCGGATTTCTTTAATATATTATTTACCATTGATTTCAGCTGAAATATAAGAAACACTCATCCCTGATGGTACATTTAAAGATCCAATAACTCTAGTATCTTTACCAGAAATGCATCTAGGGCATTGCCTGGGAGTTTGAGCAAGTGGTCTATTATGACAACTAAGATGAAAACCTCCAGTACACATATCACAGTACAATAAAGATCCTAAAAATAATAATTTTAATTAAATCAACTTAATTAATTCATTTTTTATTAATAACCATTTCCCGGGTTTCTACATTCAACGCAAATCTTCTCCCCTAAATTTTTTTTAACCGCATTAACTCTTTCGATGGTTAATTCGCTGGGTAATGGGAAAGGTAGTGCGTTATCAACAGGGGAAGGTGGACCCGAATTCTTTTTTGGGGGAGAGTTTCTCTCGTTACATTTATTTCTATTTCTCACAGCCTGTCTTGTATGCGGAGGTGATACATTTACGTTATTATTTCTTTTACTACGTTTCTGAAAAAAAAAAAAAAATACAAGTAATCAAAATAAGTATTACGTAATAAAAATGATTTTTTAAATAAAATGATGTAATAATAAGTGAATAAAATAAAATTAATTCGAGTACATACTGTAGAAAAATCCCAACCTCTGTGATACAAAAATTGCGGATTTGCCGTACTTCTTCGTTTTCGTTCGACACGTTTATTTTGTAAAAGGCGACAAGCCTCGTGCGTCCCTAAACCGAAGCTGCCTAAAAATCGTTCTTTTTGCATATGATGCGGGCTGGTTGGGTTGTTTACTGGTTGTTCCGGTGTTAACGGTCCGAATGAACATTCGGATTCGTCGGAAGCACTAACGGATGTCCCAGACGTTGCTTTAGTAACACTAAAATAAAATTTAATTTAATTTAATCAAAAAATTTTTTTTTAGTATGACTCATTTTATTACACATTTAATTTTCTTGCTCTATTCAAAGAGTTGGTCAAATTCGATCGTTTTTCTTCGACACTATTTTTAATCACATTGTTCTTGACCGATTTTTGATAAGTTTTGTAGTTTTTACGTAACGCTTCTATTATTGATTTCTGGAATAAAAATTAAACTTAAAAGACGAATAATTTTAAAAAGAAATAATTAATTTTAAGCATTATTTGCTACCTTTGACATTTGTTTAGACCCTTTTCGACCCATACTTACACCTTCGTAGTTAACCGATTACTAACAATAGGATAAAAACTACGATAGCGAAAAAATAATTTTTAATTATAAACTTTTAGATAAGGAAGTTTTTGGCTCGTGTTAATGTTTCGTTCAATAAATATTTCCGTGAAAATCATCGATAAGATTATTTGTTTTTCTATTTTTAATAATAATAAAAAATATAATGAATAATAAGTTCCTGTTTTGACATTTTGCGGGGTAATTCGGCTCTAAATTTGCAACGCACGAAGTTTTAGGACTTCCTATGTGGCAGAATATAGGTTAATACGAGTAACATTTTATTGATTATATATTAATAACATTTAATTTATCTTTTCTATTTCTATTACGAATTTCGTTTTTTTTATCTAGAAAATTCTTAAAGAAACTTCTTAATTACGAATACATAAACAGAAAGAGCTGATTAAATTATCAATTATAAAAAAGAAGTATAATGCCTTTACAGCTTACCCTAAAAGTCATCATACACCAAGAATAACAGTTCTCTAAGAAATCAAGATTTATATAACAATCCTGTAAGAGAAAATACGGCAAAGCTACTACCTTGTGGTTAGACTTATCAAAGGCTAGAGGAAATATTTATCAAAAATTATACCACGTTAGGAGATAAAAATCTGAGTAAAACGCCAGTGACAAAACTGGTTTAGAAAATTTCGATCCAATATTAATGTTATACAAGGCCGGTTAAAGCTGATGAAGACACAATAAAAGCATTAATTGATGCAATCCGTCGAATAACAACTCGCGAGATCGCTGACAGATTAAATTTATCGATTTCGACCGTTCCTGAACAATTAAAACGTCGAGGTCAAGTTCTTACGAAAAGAAATTTGCGACGTCTGTGATTTATTTTTTAAACGTCAAGAAAATGATTCATTTTTGTAATGCATAATCACTGTGGAGGAAATAATATTGTCAAAACCAAGAATAACACGTCTCTATGATGGCTAAACCCGAATATTTCTAGTTTTAAGTCTAGTGTTAAGTATAGTGACAGTGCTAAGTAGTGTTTAATGAAACGATCCAACTCTATATCCTCTATCTTTATGCTAACTTGTTCCTCTACTTCCCCTACCACCATCACATTGATTTTATTAATGTTAATTTTCATTCCATATTCTGTTAGTGCTTTGTTGCAAATTTTCAAAATTGCTCATTGCCAACAAAACATTCTTACCAATTTAAACAAGTCTAAGACCAATCCAAGATCAGTGGATGAATAGAAGATCAGAAAAGAAGGTTTCAATGAATGCAAAATACAGGAAGTGAGAGGAACGATGTTGTAATTATGGGCATGGGATAACTCAAAACTCTTCAAGTTTGAGTTTCCAACAGCAATAAGCTAATCAAATTTGATAATCAAGAATATTGGGCAAGAGGGGGTTTGAGCGTGCAATGGCTTCATTTGAACGTATGTATGTACAGGATAAACTAAATAAAACTACAATGAATTTCGAAAATTATAAAAATTACTCTTATTATTATTATTATTGCTGCCGGGCTGAGGAGGGCGGCCCCTCTCGTTACCGGGACCTATAAGATCTATTGTAACTTTAGCCCTCCAAAGGTTTAGGGCAAATGTAGGTCCTTAATGAACCTTAGTATTGTCCTGAGGTCTTGAACCTTTATGTCGGTAGGTAACAGGGGAGTTTTACCGAAGACGTTGTGCCTTAGACGTCCTCTGGCGACGCAATTGCACAGTATATGTTCAGCAGTTTCTGACTCGTCGTTGCATAGTCGACAAGTTTGATCCTCAGCTTGTCCAATGTGGAAGAGGTGGTATTTTAGGGGCACATGGCCGGTTAGGTAGCCTGAGAGCGTTCTTAGATCCCCTTTGCTGAGGCATAAAACCTCTTTGGTTTTGTTTTGCGACGGAGTTATCATACTCTTCGCTTGTCTGTGACCTGGAAGTTCTTTCCAGCGTAAGGCTATCTTTGAAGCCTCCCAGTTGTTGATTATTTGTTTTAGGTGGCTTTTTTGTAGTCCACATCCAGGTTGGGGTCCAATGAAGGGCGTGTTTGCTGCCTCTTTGGCCAGCTTGTCGGCCTTCTCATTGCCCTCAATGTTGCTGTGACCTGGAACCCACCATAGGGTAACATCATTGCCCCTAGCGAGTTCTCTCAGGTTGTTGGTGCACTCTCTGATCAGTGCGGAGCCACACGTGTAGGCCTGAATTGCCTTTAAGGCGGCCCGACTGTCTGTGAAAATGTTTATGGATGCACCTTTTTGTCCCTTCTGTAGGTTCAAAGCGGTGCAGAAGTTTATAGCAAGAACTTCTGCTTGGAAAATTGTTAAGTCCGAGCTGAGGGGCAATTTGATGTGGCTATTTGGTCCACTGATGNTTTTCAGGTCACTCTACTTTTGTCGGTGATTTCTTTGGTGTCACTTGCGTCTGCCAAGCGATTTACCAGAAGTGGTTTCTATTCCACTCCGAACACCCAATACATTCAACCGCTTAATAATGGATATTATTCTTCGCAACCTGGTTACGAATTTGTGGGGAGCACACCATCACCTCCGATAAAACCAATTTATGAACCACACGTTCCAATCACTCCGGTTTATCATCAATCAACGATTAGCACAACTCCACTGCCAATTTTATCGACGCCTTCGACACCTTATAACGAGGATTACGATAATTATATTTCAATTACCGAATCGACACGTCCAAAATATTTTGGAACTAATCAATTTACTAATCAAGCTTCTTACGTAAATCCGGTTGTAGATCCCGTTGTTGTGAATCCACATATTAATTCACAAATTGCCAGTTTTTCATCTCCAGGTCATTCTGGATTTGGTTCAAATTCATATCCAGGTTATAATCTAAATAGATACGTTCCTCATTACGCCGGTAATGCTGCAGCTTATAATGGAATTTACAATTATGTAAGAATCAAATTAATTTTTTAAATAATTTGTACTTTTTTAACTTATTTTTAGGCGCCAGCTTTTTATAAATATCAATACGCAGTGAAAGCACCTGAATACGGTGTAGATTTTGGTCATCATGAAGCAAGACAAGGTGATGTGACTCAAGGAAGTTATCATGTTCTCTTACCTGATGGTCGTTTGCAAATTGTCGAATACACGGCTGACTCAACGGGATATCATCCGAGAATAAGATACGTACATGTGGGCGCGGCCGGACTAAATGGATATTATTAATGGATTATTATTATGCAATTAGTTCCATACGCTTACATGCATGACGAATTATGATAAACGATGTGCATTTACGAAAGAAAATTTTTTAAAAAATACTTACAAAGATACTTTTTATACGAAAAATGTTACAGTGTATTTATATTACATTATGTAAGTTAATAGAAAAGTAATTATATATTAAACCAAATTTAATGTAAATATTGCTATAAATAAATATCAAGATTGTTTTTATTACGATGGTCTTTGTAAACAATAAAAGTTGTTTTATTATGATAATTTTCTCCTACTATGTCTCTTAAGGGGGGAAATATATTTAGAACCTTAAAAAAACTTTGCAAAAAGCTAAGGCAACTCGATCGGATCATTTTATTGAAGCATATAATACAAAAACATAATAATAATAACTTATTGTTTCCCAGAAGGTTACAATTTATATTAAGTACAATACTTACAACTTATAATTCTATAATGCTTATCATTAACCAGCCTCTCCCTGTCACTCTACGTCTCCTCGCTGCCACCACCTCCTCTATTCATCTCATTCCCTTCGCCCTCTCCCCCAGCACCTGCCTCTAATCCATGTACTCTTCCCTCAACTAAACTCCACCAGCAGATAAAGACTTCAAGCATTCCCCATATAGTCTGCACTCCCTCTCCTCATCCTCCATCCAATATATATTGGCCCTTTCTTCATTGCCACACAGTGTTGTTAAATACGTGGTTATTTATTTTCAAGGGTAAATTTCCTGGATATATACCCGGGGGTATTTACCCAAGATGGGTATTTAGAGGTATTTATAAAATTTAATTTAAATTGAGTTGATGGCAGTTTTGCAAGCACTTGAAGAATGCAGGGTCGATTATCGATATACCAAACTTATTTATAACATCTACAAGAATGCTACAATGCCGGTAAAATTGCATGAAAGTACTGAAGAGAGTAGAAGTAGTGAAGTACTGATTGTGAGTAAAACAAGGCGATACTGCTCCAGTTACAATTTGTTTTCATAGGCATCTACGATTAATGAAAATGTTACCGGCAATTTGTATAATCCGGTATTCTATACAATACCTAAACAATTTATTGAATACCTAAAACGTTTAGGTAATATATGAAATATTATTAATTTTATACTTTGCCTAGGTATTCTATAAAATACCGAATGCGAAACCGGCAATGTGTGTATAAATCAAAATGTCACAATAGTTCCTCATGTAAAAATAAATAAATATATTTTTTTTACTTAGGTACTCAATTCTGAGAAGCCAGTAGATCTACGTCTTGTTTTTACAGAATTATTTTGTTTCCTAAGTTTTTAATACTTATTACTTAATTATTTATAAACAAATGACATTATGTTAGTTAACCCAGAAAAATTTTAAGTTTAATGTAATTTAATTGTGATTTTATTATAGTTACATAAAGCTGCCTTTTGTACAATAACTTATAATCGTCTAATAAAAAATTTCTAAGAGTGAAAATAATTTTAAAATGTAATAGGCTTTGGGGACACCTGTATAGCATTGATCCCGCGGTTGCATACTTTCAAAAGTAATTTTTACACGAATCGTCATCATTTTAACTCTAGTATTTGCAGTGATGGGCGCTGGGTAAATACCCGGCGGGTAGGTATTTCTAAAATGGGTATTTATCTGGGTACTTACCCCGGCTAAATACCCAAACAGTACATATAAAAGTGATACAAGTAAAAATATAACAGATTCGGACAAAAATGTAGAGGAACATGATGAAATGACCGTTGAAGACGAGAAATTGTCAACGATCGAAGACGTATTATTATCAGGTAACCATTGCTCATTCTACATTTTTGNAACCCGAAAGTTTGTAGTTTAATATACAGGGTGTCACACAAAAAACGCCCCAAACTGTAACTCTGTTATTTACATTCCGATTTTCATGGCCTAGGTATCAAATGAAATGGTTTTATAAATACTATGATTCATGCTACAAATAATTTTGTTTATCAAATTGCTGCGTATATTTTTCTTCACGTCATTGGATAGAGATTGTTCTTCTGAATTCATTGATGTATAATACATCCATTTTGAATATAAGTTTAGCAGAGAAAAGACACCTGTAGATACAGGTTGTCACACAAGAATTCCGCAAGCTGTAATTTTGTCATTTACATTCCGATTTTCATGAGCGAGGTATCAAATGAAAAGGTTTGCGGAATACTATGATTCATGCGACAAATAAACTTTTTCCAACGCCATCTTCAATTTAAAGCGATTATCAACTTTTGATTTTCAAATTGCTCGGTAAATTTTTCTTCACGTTACTACAATTATAATTAATGTTGATGTATTGTACATCAGTGGATTCAGAAAAACAATCTCTATCCAATGACGTAAAGAAAAATATATAGAGCAATTTGTAAAGCAAAAGTTAATAATCGCTTAAAATCATAGTATTCATGAAACTATTTCATTTGATACCCCGCTCATGAAAATCGGAATGTAAATGACAGAGTTACAGCTTGGGGCGTTTTTTGTGTGACACCCTGTATAATACAATATTACTGACAATATTTTTGTCAGAGTTGATTATTATTTGTAAACAAAACCTAACTTAACTTTTCTTTTCTTACTATGTTACAACAAATCGTTGATATTTTGCTGGAACTGCGTAGAACAGGTAAAATAAATTATAAATGGTTAAATATATGCATATAGTTATCAATATAGCAACGTTAACTTTTAAATATATACTACAATCGTTTTAGAAAGAATTAGAAGAATTTTTGATAATTAATCAAAAACTATAAGAACCAAAATCGACCACCATGTTGATTGAGGTTTAGGGACGATATTAAGAGTATTCGAGAACAATGTTAAGGAACTCTATAATATTATGGAACGTCCAAAATGGCGTTGAAGGATATCAAATCAGATATTGAGGAACTTTTTGTGTGTTATCAAAAGCAACAGTGAAGATAGTGGCTGATGTAACGTTGAGGGATGATGGGTGGCTCCGACTACTACTTATTAGCACCAATGGGATTTACTAGAACAATGGGATTAATATCATGTGCTTACTGAGCAGCAGTGTTGTTAAATACCCGGGTATTTATTTTCAAAGGTAAATTTCCTGGATATATGCCTGGGGGTATTTACCCAAGATGGGTATTTAGAGGTATTTATAAAATTTAATTTAAATTGAGTTGATGGCAGTTTTGCAAGCACTTGAAGAATGCAGGGTCGATTATCGATATACCAAACTTATTTATAACATCTACAAGAATGCTACAATGCCGGTAAAATTGCATGAAAGTACTGAAGAGAGTAGAAGTAGTGAAGTACTGATTGTGAGTAAAACAAGGCGATACTGCTCCAGTTACAATTTGTTTTCATAGGCATCTACGATTAATGAAAATGTTACCGGCAATTTGTATAATCCGGTATTCTATACAATACCTAAACAATTTATTGAATACCTAAAACGTTTAGGTAATATATGAAATATTATTAATTTTATACTTTGCCTAGGTATTCTATAAAATACCGAATGCGAAACCGGCAATGTGTGTATAAATCAAAATGTCACAATAGTTCCTCATGTAAAAATAAATAAATATATTTTTTTTACTTAGGTACTCAATTCTGAGAAGCCAGTAGATCTACGTCTTGTTTTTACAGAATTATTTTGTTTCCTAAGTTTTTAATACTTATTACTTAATTATTTATAAACAAATGACATTATGTTAGTTAACCCAGAAAAATTTTAAGTTTAATGTAATTTAATTGTGATTTTATTATAGTTACATAAAGCTGCCTTTTGTACAATAACTTATAATCGTCTAATTAAAAATTTCTAAGAGTGAAAATAATTTTAAAATGAAATAGGCTTTGGGGACACCTGTATAACATNAACTCAATTTAAATCAAATTTTATAAATACCTCTAAATACCCATCTTGAGTAAATACCTCCGGGTATATATCCAGGGAATTTTCCCTTGAAAATAAATACCCGGGTATTTAACAACACTGAGTATTTGTGATTAAAATTATGCCACGACTTACAGAAACACCCTGTATACTTTTAAAACTTTAATAACATTTTTTAACTCTCAGACATGATAACGTTTAATACATAAACTATTTAAGCAATTTTTTCTCATCACAATTAAGGAAAATTAAGATTACTTTTTACTTTTATTGCTTTTTAAATCATGGAGCGTAACCTCGACATCAGCATACTGCTTCATCGTAAATATTAAAACATTTAATTCTAATTATTCCCAACTTTAACACCTTCGTTCATTAAAACCCTCTTCCCACAAAATTGTCGATCATTATTTAGTTAGTGCCGCTGTTTCACCGCGAATCGATTCTTTAAAAGCGTTCTTATTTCAATGGAACGCTTAATTGTTGAGGTAAATTAATTATTAAAATATAACTACAAAATTGTAAAATAAATTGTTTTAAATTGCGAAAGAAATAAAAATTTTTTAATAAAAACCCGTTAAAATAGATAAATCAATTACTAATTTTTATTTAAAAAAATTTCAAAGACCTAAAGGAAGTAAATTACAGAGTAATTAAACGGTTTTAATCGATCTAAACTTACAAAGTTAGGTAACGAGGCTTTGAAGAGCGAGAGAGAACGAAACTTTAGATTTTAACATAACCTATAAACATTTACACCTAAAAAAACATCGCATTAAATTTGAGAAATCTTAAAAAATCTTGACGAAATCGCAATAATCTCGAGATAAATTAAAACGTAAAAAGTGTATCCATGAAAAGTTGTTTAAAAGAATAATATTAAGTTGAACTTTAAAGTTCCGGGGCGGTCTTGAAACGGCCCAAATCGGCCAAGTTTCCTAAAAGATCAATAACAACCTTGCAACGAGTAAAGTTGCGCCAGAATGTGTATTTATACGTTACGCACACTTTTATTGTTTAAATAATCTTAAAAACTTTTTAATCAAAAAACTATTTTTAGCAATTATTCCACTTCCAAAACGATTTAAATTTAAATAATCGTTTTTTTTTAATTTAATCGAAAATACACATCAAGTTATTTTTAGAATAAAACGCAAAGTAGAAGGGGGCCATGAGATAAAAGAACCAATGTTATGTTTTAAAAGGTAAAGAGGAATCAAGTGGGTTTATTTACTTTCGTTTGTTTAAAAAAAAGTTTTGTTTTTATTACTTACTTGTTCGCATCCGATGAAGACTATGTTTTCTTGAATCGCTTTTAATTGATCTTGAAGTTCAACGTTCTAAATTAATAAAAAATTATAAATATTTAACGACATTAATTTTAAAATGGCAACTTACATCAGGATTATCACGTAACTTTGTTAAAATAACCTAATAAAGAAAAAAAATAAATTTAATTGCTTCATTCATTTAATAATTTAGTTTTATTATTATTTTAATTAAAATTTTTGACTTTAAATACTTTATTGAAACGAAAAATATTTAATCCCATCTCTTTCCAATTCCCATTAAACAAATACTCACCATCTTTATCTAAATGGACGTGTATTCAAATAAATCTGTATCAGGAAAAACTTACCTGATGATTTCGAATGGCGTTTTTTAATTCTTTTTGATTGGACTCAATGGCCGATTTAAGTTCCTTAGAAATAGCCATGTCTTCCATTTAATTCTTATTAAAACACCGGGTTAAACTAAAAATTTAACTTTTCGTATACAATTTTCTATGGAACGATTAAATAAGAGGGAACGAACCGTGTCCTTTGCCGAACGAAATCGAACTGAAGGAGGATCTAGCAAGCGCTCCCGCAATCGGAAACCCACTTTAACGGTCATATAAAACAAGAAAACTTTCATTACTTATTATAACCCACCAATAAAACGAATTTAAGCGAAATTAATTAAAAATATATTATTATTAACAATTAATTTGTTGTTTTTATCCGTTGATTAATGTTTTTTTTGACGTCTCGGAACCGTTCGGGTATCCTCGGCGATCGGATCTTAACATGCGTAAGGTTGGTAATTGTAAATAAAATAACGAATTAATTTTTATTTTCGCCATTTCGATAAATTAATTATAATTAAATCAACAATAAAATTCTACTTACGTTATTAACTCTAACAAGATTCCCCGAAGTTTTAACAACTCATCCAAGAACCGTTTTCGTTTATAACCTCTATCTTTGACAAGATATTTACATTTCAGATCACCAGCTACCTTGATTTCTGTACTCTCTTTCTCTTTGTTTATTAATTCACTTTATTACGTATTTAATTTATCCAATTATTATTAATAATCCAATTAAACTTAAAAAAAAGTTATTATTGGTGGGAAGAAAAAAGTTTAGCGATGAGGCGATAACCTAAATGATAAAGTACCTTTTCCCTTATTGATAATCTATTAATGGGGTTAATAAACGGTTAAATCAAATATATTTTTTTATATATTTGGAATCAATAATTAATAATAACCTTAAAAATAAACAAAAAGGTTAGATGACAATAATAAATTCCACAAAAAAAAGCGGCGCCATCTATTACTGAATAACCAAATTTTTTAAAATAATTATTTAAAAATTAATAAAAATTGATTTTATTACAATTATTGCTATTTTATTAATTTATCGTTATATTTTAAATTGTGTATATAATGACGAATTTATAAACAAAATTAAATAATTTAACATGTAAAAAAAATAGTTCAAAAATAAATTGTTAGATGGCCCCTTTAATTATCTAAATCGTCAAAAATATAAATAAAAATTAAATCGTAATTGAATTAATTTAAACATTATATTTAATATTATTATTATTTATGAAAGTAATGAATATTTTGAAGTTATTAAATGAGAGAAACGAATTATAAAATAAAAATCTTGTAAAGTTGGTTGCCTAACTTAAAATAACATTATGCACCATACATTTTTTTTAGACATTGTTTATCAATTCCTTCGATAAGAACGTGCTTACTCTCACAATGAAAACCTTAAAAACATTTAATATCGAGAAAAACATTTAAAACCATCTTTTAACCGGTTAAACTTTATTAAAGTAAATCAACCTCACGTTAAAAGAACCCCTTAACTTTTAGTGCGCGTTATCTCTCCAAATAATCCAAATTTGTCATCCAGTTAAACATAACAAATAAACTCCCGTTTATCCGAAATAAGTCTAAATAAATTAGTGTAACGTAACATCAAATTATTTTTTAATCATGTAAAAATCGTTCGATTATGCGAAATATTTTCGTCATGGCGTGAATAAGTATTGAGGGATTTTAATGATACTTTTGATTAATTAATCGTTAATTATAATAGAAATGGAGGCCGTTTTAGAACGTCCAAAGTCAAAACAGGTAAGAATTTATCATTTTCTCTTCAATTTTAAGGTTATATTTTGATTGTCAAATCTAGAAAAAGAAACGTCAAATTGAAAGTAAAGTGGCGGGGGAAAGTAGCGGGAGTTTTGAAAATAACGAAGAAATCGAAAATGAGAAAAGTGATGAAATTAATAAAAATGAGAACAAAGAAACAAAGGAGGAATTATCGGTCGAAAATAGCGATATGGATTTATCGATTGGTGATAAAGAATTAAAAATTGATAAGCCAAAGGAAGTAGGAACAATAAATTTCGAGAGGATAATGCAAAAAAATCGGCAAATAATGCAAACTATCGAGCATATAAACAGTTTTTGTACTGAAAAAACTTTAAATCAAACCCCGGCTATTCGTTGTACGAATGAGATTAAATCTACGGAAGAAATAATTAGACCTTACACGGAATCGCAACTTTCCGCTTTGTATTCTAATTCAGAACTCGAGATGATTGAGCAGTTTACTAAAAACTTCATCGAACATGAATTAAGAGGAAATAATGTCCGTCAACACCCCTTACATGAATTACTAACTTTATACGCTCAATGCCGAAATAAACACGCCTCAAATAATTTGGAAATTGAACAAACCAAGCGAAATTACATCGAACTGCAATCGCAATTATGGTCGATGAATTCTTCAGTTATAAAAGGTCAAGGAGAGTGTCAAGATGGGATCGTTGTCCAAGCTACTCATACTTATAATAAAGCTACGTTTCATAGAAGTTGTTTTCAAAATTTATCGAGGGTTTTAAGTAAAATTAGGCAGATGAGTAATGAAATTCATGTTTTATATTCTTATTCGGCTGCTATTTATAAGTTACAGGTATGAAATTTCCACTGGTGTGAAGTTATCCATAAATTCCAGCCATAAACTTAAATCACTCATAATTCTTACTTCTTATTTAACAGCTTAAAACTCCCATTTGGTTAAAAAAATTTCATAAAATAACCTTTAAAGTGAGTCCAAACTTGACGCATTTATCTCAAAAAACCAAAAAGTTTGAACTTTCAACTTTTAATTTTGACATATTTGTCAACTTCATAAAAAATCCTTTAAAATGAGTCGAAACTCGACATATTTAAGTTTAATATTAATGGAAATACAATCACTTTCGGTTTGAAACGTCAACGTCAATTTTGACAAGATGACAAATGTCATATTCATTAAAAAAACCTTTAAAATGAGTCCAAAGATGACGCACTTATCTCAAAAAACAAAAAAGTTAGAATAAAAAACATTAAACCCTAAGTTAGCAACAATGAAGATAACAATTTAATTTTTAAATAAATATTAATACCAACCTTATTTTTTATTTTTTTTTAATAAAATTTTTGATTTTGTGACAAATGTTAAGACATTTTATAAAAATTAAGAATATGTCAAAATGACATTGACTTTTCAAATTGGAAGTTGCTTATATCTCGATTAATATTGGAATTAAACGTATCATGTTTGGACTCATTTTGAAGGATTTTTCACGACGATTACAAATATGTCAAAATTGACATTGACATTCTTAACCGGAAGTGGACCATAACTTCATTAATATTGAAGATAAATATGTCGTGTTTGTACTCATTTTAAAGGATTTTTAATGAAGATTACAAATATGTCAAAATTGAGGTTGACATTTTAAACCTGAAGTTAATTATCATATAATAGCAGTTTTATAACTGAAGTTAATCTTGTATTAGTCACTTTTTTTTTATTTTTAACGTGTTTTTTGGGTCATTTCACATTGATTATAAAAAAGCGACGATTTTTAAGCCACAAGATGATTCTTGAATTTTTCCCAAGTTTCTTAATATTTCGTTTGTTAAAAAAGGGAGTTCTTAAATTTTAATCTGTAAATTTGTAACACTTCGTCCTTAATTTCATTTTACAACTTTTTAAACTTTAATTTTGTAAATTAGTAACTAATAATCTGATTTCGACTTTGATATGTGATCTTTTTTAACAAAACAAAAAGATATTAAGAAACTTCTTTGTAAAATGGATAAGATGAGAGATGTTAATCTATTTGTAGAGTCACTGAAGATGGTCAAGGGTCGAAACTGGTTAGACTTAACTTCTATATAAAATAAAAACCAGTTTAAAAGTACAAAATCAAATTCTAGATTATTTTTTCGTCATTTTGTCTATAGTTTTAGTGATTAAATTTATGCCACGACTTACAGAAACAGCCTGTTATCAGTGTTTTGTGATAAAAATGGACAGGCACCAAACAATTTTCAATAGTTTGAGCCTGTCTATTCTGAGAAGTCTTATATTTTTAGAGAGATGAAAACGTAAATCCCGTTTTTCTTAACATTATTCATTTGTGGCTTAGTCAAGTGATGCATAACGCGGTCCAATTATCCTTGTGAATAGACACCAGTACCATTTCTTACTCCTTATCGTTATAAAATGTTTTTCTAAGAACCAATCATAATGGTCTACTCCAACCAATTATAGATTATAATGGTGAACCTTGGCTGAGTAACTTACACTTTTAATTTTTGTTCTCTGTTGCATCTTGCAATTGATGTTACTGGTTTTATAGTATCAAAATCTGTGGCCATATTGGTACAAACTTCTGCACAGGGATGACATTCACTTAAATGAATGCAAGGGTTGAAAACGATGTGGAACGCGGTAGCAAGTATCTATAGTATTCTCCATTCGTTACATAATTTTGTTATATGCAATAGACAGTTGATATAATCTATTTCTTTCTCTATCAAAAACCCACCCTTTAAATCATCCTAATCAAATGGGATCATCCTTTTTTTACCAAATGGGGGTTGTCAAACCCGAATGCTTTTAATTCTAGGTGTAGTATTTGTTCTAGTTTTAGTTTAATAAAAATATTAATAATTTAGCGCTGAATAACAATTAAAACTAGAACTAACACAATATTTCTAGTTCTAGGTCTAGAACTAGAAATATTCGGGTTTAGCCGTCTTTAGAGTCGTGCGGCAAAACCCGAAACTTTCTAGTTCAAGGTCTAGTGCTAGTTTTGATAGGTCTAGTGAGTGATAATTCTAGTGTAAAACTAGAACTAACACTAGACCTAGAACTAGAAACATTCGGATTTAGCCGCAAGTCTTTCAAGACGGCTAAATCCGAATGATTCTAGTTCTAGGTCTAGTGTTAGTTCTAGTTTTACACTAGCACTATCACTAGAACTAACACAAGACCTAGAACTAGAATCATTTGGGTTTAACCGTCTTGAAAGACTTGTGGCTAAATCCGAATGTTTCTAGTTCTAGGTCTAATGTTAGTTCTAGTTTTACACTAGAATTATCACTAGAACTAACACAAGACCTACAACTAGAAACATTTGGGTTTAGCCGCACATTTTTCAAGACGGCAAGTTCGTCTGAAGACGCTCTAGTGTTAGTTCTGGTTTTAATTGTAATTCAGTGCTAAATTTGCTTTCGTATTCGATTTAAGTTTATAGCTAGAATTTATGGATAACTTCACACCAGTGAAATTTCCAAATCTTTAATTAAAAATCTGAATATTAATTTTTAGATCGAATTATATTTACAAACATTATCAAATAAATGCATCAAACTTTCTGGTATAACAAAACAAAATCCAGTTTCGTTAACATTAGAAGAAACTCCTCGACATCTCTTATCGGATCTTCAAGAATTACGATTGTGCATATCAATCCTATTTATATTCCAAAGACATTTAATAAGAGACCCGGAATTTATTAAAGACACCCGAAGCTGGTTGAACGACTTAATCGCAGTCCTTTTAAGAGTGGCTAATTACCAAGATCACATTTTCATTTTGAATCATATTTTAAGATGTCCCCCGGGCGTGGGGAGTTGGTCAACGCAATTTATTCAACTTCCGTTAAAACCGACGAATTCTTCACCGTTTTCAAGCTACGAAATAAATCACATCGTTACGGTTTTATCGCTTTTATTAAAACCCATCGAAAAACGAGATAAATTCCTCGAAGAATTAATGCAAAGTAAAGACGCCCCAATGGAAGCACTTTGGGTTATGGTCGATTCCGATGGAGAGGAAGATGAAGAGTCTTCGGGAATGTCGCTACGTGAAAATGATTTAGTCGCAATGTTCAATCAATTACCGTTGGATAATATGTTTAGAATGTTGTTGTGTGTTGTACGAACGGACGGGAACGATTATTTTGATTCATCCCAATTAACGGAACATCATATTTTAAGATTTTTCGCTTTTTCTACGTTATTACTAAAAGTGATTCAAGAAGGATTATTTACTTACGAACAATCTCGTTATAATCAATTCGCTAAACGGTTATGTAGATTAATTCGGCATATCGTTCAATACGCCACCGATATCTGGGAAATTTTCCAAACGGAAACCAATTTACGCGATGCAGCTATGATGAAACGCCTTCAAGTCGAATACGACGCATTCTTTTTACGCGCCACTTACTGTTTGTATTCGTCAAAAAAAATGGGAGCCTGGCAATTTTTAGCTGTCGTACCGTACGATTTAATATCGAGGCGATGTTTGTGGAAGATTTTTTATTTTTTACATGATTCCGATAGTTTGGCCCAAACGATTCTAGATCCGATTGATAACACCGATTTTAGCGAGAAATTGTGGGACTTTTCCGTTCGCGTTCAATTTGAAGAGAAATTAAATAATTTGGAGGATTCCGAATCGTATTATTTATTAAATACTTTTGCTAATATGGCTTTGTGTCGTAATCAAAAGGATGATGTTGATTTTATTGAAGCTGCTACACACGATTTATTACAAGTAAGTTAATTGGACGTCTATTAAGGCGGCTAAATTGGTTTAATAGAAATATATAATAACTTGGCGTTCTGGTTTAGCTGTACACCTTTTATGGCGGCTAACTAGAATGTTTCTAGTTCTAGGTCTAGTGATATATCTCGTTTTAATTTAATAAAAATATACAATAATTTAGTGCTCAATAATTAAAAGTAGAACTAACACTAGACCTAGAACCTGCTTCAAGTTCTAGGTCTAGTGTTAGGTTCTGGTTATAGTTTAATGAAAATTTTAATAATTTAGCGCTGAATAACAATTAAAACTAGAACTAACACTAGACCTAGAAACTCGAATATTTCTAGTTCTAGGTCTAGTGTTATTTTTACACTTGCACTGTCACTAGAACTAACATTAGACCTAGAAGCATTTGGGTTTAGCCGCACGTCTTTCAAGACGGCAAGTTCGTCTGAAGACGCCCTGCTAAACCTTAATGTTTCTAGTTCTAGATCTAGTGTTAGATATCAATATCACTAGAACTAGGAACGTTCGGGTTTAGCTGTACGTCTCGTAAAATGGCTAAACCCGATTCTAGGTCTACTGTTAGTTTTAATTTTTATCCACCGCTACTTCGAATCAGAGACCTGGATCGAATGGCTTACTTAGTGAATCATATTCTTCATTCGTCAATAGTTACTAAGAATCATGTTGTGTGGTGTTCTTTCTTAAGTTATTGTTATTATTCTTATCATATTAATCGATTCGCTGTTACTATAGTAATATATGTTTCATATATGTTTCATAATACAGGGTGTTCCGGTGACTCGGGGCATAAAATTAACCTCACATACTAGAGCAAAAGTGATGACGATTCGTGAAAAAAAAATTATTATAAAAGTCTTGAAATGGCCAAGATATGGGCCATCAAAGTTCAGAAATTTTAACACATTTTTCTAAATATTTTCAATACCATTTATAATAAAGCGTTAAAATTTGGTACAGGGTAAACAAATATCAAGCAAAATCATTGAACCAATTTTGACTTTGATCGGGCGGCGGCAACCTTGCTATACAGGTGTCCCTCAAATTCGTTTGCTCAGAACTTTTTTATTCGCTCGTAACCCTACATCTATTTTTGTACTTTTTAGTAGAAAATTTATTTTAGCAACTTTTATCACTCTTTGAAAATTTTGATAACATTGACCGTTTTCGAGTTATACGCGAAAATATTAAGCTTCGATTTCAATAACACTAAAAAACAAAAATCTTCGAAAAAGTCAAGGTAGGCCATGGCAATTAAAAAAAACAAATTGAGCTGTCAACTTGCTTATGTCGTTTAAACACAAACGATAGTTTTTTGTTAGTTAAGTTTTTATTAATTTTAAGTGTCCAAAATGGAGAGTTACACATTTAGTGAACAAACTGACATGATTTTGACATTAAGGGAATGTCATGGAAATAGACTACGTAGAAGAAAATACTACACCTAGTACTTTGGATATGGCGAGGCACTTTTTAACTTCAAAAACAACTGTCTGGAGTGTTCTTCACGAGCAACAGCTTTATCCATTTCATTGTTACAAAGTTCAGGAAGTTCGACTGGCTGATTACCCTCTGCGACTGCAATATTGCCAAATAATGCGGCACAAAATCCAAATTGATGATCAGTTTTAAGAAAAAGAGCTTTTTACAGATGAATCCACTTTTTCTAAAGATAGAATCATCAATTTGAGAAATTTACATAGTTGGGCGGACGAAAATCCAAGATTTAAGGAAACTTAGAAATCACAATGGAGATTTTCTCTTAACGTTTGGGCTGGCATTGTGGGCGATGTAATTATTAGACCCGTTTTCTTGCCATCAAGGCTGGGTGGACATACATACAGGCGACATTTAGAGGAATTAGATGATTTTTAGATAACGTTCCTTTAAACACAAGGCAAGCAATGTCGTATATGCATGATGGTGCTCCTGCGCATAGCACACAGGCTGTCCAAGAATTTCTGAAGGAACGTTTTCCGGGACGGTGGATTGGACGAGGAGAAGGTGCACCGATAAGTTGGCCCCCCCGATCGCCGGATCTTACACTTGTAGATTTTTATTTATGGAGACGCGTTAAATCGCTAGTTTACTGCGTTGAAATAATTTCAGTTGATCAACTGAGGTTGCGAATTGTTGATTCATTTGATCAACTTCGAACTGAGATTAATGTTCTCCGCAGAGTGCGCTTTAATTTAAGACGGCGATATCAGGCTTTAGTATTTTTTTCTTCTTTTTTATTTATTACTATTTGTTTATAATTTTATTGTTCTCGTTAATATTTTTGTTAGAATTTTTGTTATGTTCTTGTTTGTTGTTACCGTGACAATTAAATTTATTGTTTTGGAAATTACATTCTTTTATTCAACTGAAATAAATTAACACTAACTAAATCTGCACTTAGAAATTTATGCAAATAATCGATTGAAATCAAAGCTTAACATTTTCGCGTATAACTCGAAAACGGTCAATGTTATCAAAATTTTCAAAGAGTGATAAAAGTTTCTAAAATAAATTTTCTATTAAAAAGTACAAAAATAAATGTAGGGTTACGAGCGAACAAAAAAGTTCTGAGCAAACAAATTTTAGGGACAGCCTGTATAGCATGGTTGCCGCCGCCCAAAAGTCAAAATTGGTTCAATGATTTTGCTTGATATTTGTTTACCCTGTACCAAATTTCAACGCTCTACCATAAATGGTATTGAAAATATTTAGAAAAATGTGTTAAAATTTCTGAACTTTGATGGCCCATATCTTGGCCATTTGAAGACTTTTATAATAATTTTTTTTCACGAATCGTTATCATTTTTGTTCTAGTATATGAGGTTCATTTTATGCCCCGAGTCACCGGAACACCCTGTATATGTTTCTTTCATTCGTCAATAGAACCGTGAATAATGTAGTGCCGTGCTCATTCAAAAGCAGCGAATGGTTTAAAACCATTCGCGAAATAGTCATTCGAAAAGTTCCGTGTAACGTATTGATGTTTAAAATTTTGTTGAAAAAGTGCAAAACTTGTACAAAGTTGTCTAAAAATTAGTCCAAATTAATTTCAAACTATTTAAAAGACCAACATTACTCCAATATCATTTCCAATGTTGACTGAAAATCGCAAAAAATTGTAATAACTCCGTAAACACAGCTTTTATTATCTTTCATGTCTATTGTAAGATTTTCGATACAGCATCACATTGAAAAACAAAGATAATTTTAGACACATTTAGACAATTTCAGATATTTTTGTGCATGTTTAGCCAAGTTAAAATAATTTTAAATTTAATTTGATCATTTTAGACAACTTTATAAATCTTTTCAGTTTTGAACAAGTTTAGACAAGTTTAAACAATTTTAGATCAATTTTGGACTATTAAATAATTTTGAACAAGTGTACAGGGTGGGCAAATTTGGGTGTTATTATAGGCTATCTCAGAAACTATAAAAGATACGAAAAAAGTAGATGCCATGTTCCGGTCTCTTTTTTCGAGACTAATCCAATCCCGCAAACACCAAACCTCTATAACCTCTATAATTAAAATTTTGAATTTTAATCTTTAATATTTTAAAATTAAAAAATAACGCTTATTTTCCCCAAATACACCATGCGTGCAATACATCATTGGAAAGCTAAAAATATGCTCTTTTCAGTAACACCATAATCTCCTATAGTTTGTATTTAAAAAAATACAACTTTGTGTTGTATCTCAAAAATCATTAATATTTTTAAAATTTTTCAACGGCAGTATATTTTACTTAAAAAAGTGTCTTAAGAACGTATCAACCCCATTTCTCTAATTTCAAAAATAAACGAAATATGAGCATTTTTTGAAATCACGAAAATTTGACTTTTTGGCTATAACTTAAAAACAAAAAAAAATAGAGATTTGGTGTTTGCAGGATTGGATTAGTCTTGAAAAAAGAGATTGAGACATGGCACCTACTTTTTTTGTATCTCTTATAGTTTCTGAGATAGCCTATAATAACACCCACCCTGTACATAATTTCAGTAACATTTTGGTTATTTTGATATATTTTATAAAATTTTTATAATTTTAGATAGGTATAAACAATTTAGGCCCACTTTTACCATCCTCCTGATAAACTATCTAGAGCAGTGTTTTTCAACCTTTTTCATGACACGACCTCTAGTAACAAAAAATATTTCGCGACCCTTTTTTTCATGTATGTTAAAAATATTTAATCCATACAAAAATTTACGACAATTAAATTTAATAATTGTCGTTATTTATGACGACAATTATTTGAAATTTGGGTTTACTGTGATTGAGAATAAACCGCAGTGTGTAATTTGCTTTGAAATTTTGTCAAGAGAAAGCATGAAACCATCGAAGTTGGTACGCCACCTAAACACAAAACATAGCGTTGCTCGCTAGTTATCGAGTAGCTTTTCGTGTGGCTAAAGCAGGAAAACCTCACAGTATTGCCGAAAATTTGATTTTACCAGCGGCTTTAAATATAGCAGAGATTATGTTTGGCAAACAAGAGGTCGAAAAGCTCAAAAGTATACCTCTCTCTGACAATAACATTCAATGCAGGATAAGCAATATGGCGACTGACGTTCGTGATCAAGTCATAGAAAAAATAAAGAAAAGTTCTTTTGTGTCCTTACAATTTGATGAATCAACGGATATTGCGGGTTGTGCGCAGTTTGTAGCTTTTGTGCGTGTTGAATCCAATGAAATATTGATGGAAGAAATACTATTTTGCAAGGCACTTCCCAAAAATGCTACAGGTCAGTTCTTGCATGACATGTTCGTTGAAGCTACGCAAGATATGAATATCGATTGGGCACAAAAATGCATTGCTATTTGTAGTGACGGAGCAAAAGCCATGACTGGTGCGAAGAGTGGATTTATTGCTAGACTGAAAGAACAAATGCCAAACGCTTGTTGGATGCACTGCTTTCTCCATCGCCAAGCTCTTGCAGCCAAAACCTTGCCACTACACCGCAATTTGCTTTACCACACAGAGGTTAGGTGGTTATCAAAAGGCAAAGTACTGACCAGAGTTATGGAACTTCGCGCTGAACTATTAGTATATTTACAACAAGCCAAGTCACATTACTCTGAATTCATTTCTGACCCGGAATTCCTTTTGAAATTGGCTTTTCTCTCCGACTTATTTGAGCATTTAAACAACTTGAATAAAAGTCTTCAAGGGCAAGATGAAAATTTTTTTACTGAGTTCTCGCGACCCCCTTATAGAGGCTTCGCGACCCCTCAGGGGGTCGCGACCCACAAGTTGATAACACTGATCTAGAGTATAGTTGCCATGGTTACGGCGGTTTTAAGCGTTCTCATTGGCTAAGGCTCGTTACTACCATCTTCTGGTTAAGCTATCTAAGGGATTATTACTATGGTTACGGCTATTTCACGCGCTCTGATTGGCTAGTAGATGGGTTTATCTATAAGATAAATTTAACTAAAAGATGGTAGTAATGGACCTAAGAGTTGGATTTATCTATGGGATAAATTTATCAAGAGGTGGTAAAAGGGCCAAGTTTTGATAATTTTAGCCACATTTTGATTATTTTAGACGGTTTTGAACGAGTTTACACAAATTTAAACAATTTTAGATCAATTTTGTGCTTTTAAATAATTTTGAACAAGTTTAGATAATTTCATTAACATTTTATCATTTTGAACTATTTTGTAAAATTTTGATGACAATTTTCTGTAAGTGTAGCCAAATTTACTAACAAAATTATTTATTAGTCACGTTTAACACTAACTAGACTAAGGGCCGGTTTATCAATGTCAAGTTAAATCTGTTAGATACGCAACTCATGGATAAACTTGCCTAACAAATAACCTCAGTGAACCGTTTATCCAGCAACATTCTACCCAACAAGCAGCAACCTACAAGATAGAACATAGATGGTACCCCTGAGTGTTAACATTAGAACCGGAAATGAAACGTAATTGGTGAAATTTGAATAATTGACTTTAGTTTATAAAGTTGATATAAACAGCTGATGTTTTGGAGGTTATCATTCTCGTGTGCTTTCGGTATTGTGCTTTGTTTTCGAAAACCTCTTTTATAATGGAATTCCTACATGAATATTTATTAGACAGCGATAAAGATGAGGATATTGTCCAACTCTTAAATTATAAACGACGACCACATATTATAAAAGAAAGAAAAAGGTCAAAACCACTTTGAGGAGTTGGACGAATACGTTTTTTTGTTAGATTACGGTTAAAAAAGGACATAATTTTGTCAATCTTGGTTAAAATTAAGAGGAGATTATACTATATTAGATTATAGATTATATTATTTTTTTTTTTTAAATTACTAGGTTATTGTTTATTTTCTATAACATTTTTATATTCGTTTGCCAAATCCATCAGCAAGTTCCTTTCTGCTGTACTAAAATTTGATTAAATTATTAATTAAATTATCCATCGCCACAATTATAAGCTTAATTTATTTTTGACGTTATATTTTGATTTTATTGTCATTTCCTTTCACCAAGCAACCAAACTTGTGCTCACATTTTTTTAACAATATCTAATAGGTAAACCCTTAACCAGTACTTCAATCTGGTGGGTATCCAAATGTCATATTTATCTATAAGATTACCCTAAACTACGGGTGGATAAACGATTCGTCGACGTTATCTATCAGCTACAATTTTAATTGGCAGATAAATCGTCTTAACTAGATATTGATAAACCGGCTCTAAGGCCCACTTTTACCACCTCTTGATAAATTTATTCGATAGATAATTACCATGGTTACAGCGGTTTTAAGCGCTCTCATTGGCTGAGAGCGACAATTTATCTATCGGTTAAATTTATCAAGAGGTGGTAAAAGTGGGCCTAAGACTGTTGATGTCTTAGTGTTAATTCATCATTCGTTTTTCTGTGAATGTTTTAATTAATGTTTTAGATTGGATTTATAAGTAAAACAACTCAAGAAACATGTTCGAAAAATACAAGAATTTTATTAACACACCTAACATCAAAAACACCGACTCTACTTTCTTACATTTTAAAAATCGTTGATCATAACATCTCAAATATAGGAGTTTACGCTTTATATTTATACGAAGAACTTCCAATTTCGATTTGGTTACCAAACGAAGATGATATTGAAATAATTGTACGGATTTTAAAAACGAATTCGTACGGAAGTGAAAGTAGCCGTTGGGCGAGAATGATCATCGCCCGATTAAATTGGGACTTAAATCCATTTATTCCATATAAAATTCATTGTAAAATCGCTTTATTAATAGCGGAATTGGTCGAAGAAGATCCAACGTTTTCCCAATGGTCTTGGGCGATTCTGTTTAAGCTTCGATTACACATCACCGATCGGGGAATTTCTGATTTTAGTAAAGTTCTTGAACCGGAACGTTATGATGTTTTACGTAGAGGATTAAGGGATCAAAATAAAACGATCCCCGCATTTTTATCGGTTTTGGTTACAACTTATGGTCATTTAATTCCGGTTATTTGTAATAAAGGATTAGATCAACTAATTTTTTTACTAAATCAACAAAAATACGAAGCCGTCTTATTCGCTTTGAATCTCATTGTGCCGTTATTTTTAAATTGTCAGGAATCCTTAGTAAACTGTGATAAATTTCAAACGATTATACTCGGATTATTAAACGCTGATAAAGGATATCTCCACCTGGTTTCGAAAAACTTACAAAATCCAATTTTAGAGCAATTCGGACATATGATTGGAAATCAAATATTAAATTGTTCCGAATACGAAGTTGAATCGCCTAGAATCGTAGTTAGGCTTTGGATGAACTCGTTAGTTTCGGTTCCAAATTGGAATCGAGATTTTGGTGTTATGTATCTTTTGGATGTTATTATAAAAATAAGTTTCTTTTACACCGAAGCTTTAGAAGTTTGTAAGAATACGCTGAGGGAGTTGTTACAATGCAGCACACCTCAAGAACAATCAACAACGATCACGTCATTATTTAAATGGGTTTCATCTTCAGCGAATACTCCGGGAACTTTATTAATAAATAGTTCTTTATCGAATTGTCCGTGGTTAGCTTACTTAATGATTGATTTGGAATTCGAAGAGCGCGAAAAAATTACTGGGTTATGGAAAGAAATTTTAATGCAATTGGAGGCGCAAAAAGGAAAGGTTAATGTTGATGCAGCAATTCGAAAGGCAGCGGGAAATTTGAAATTGCCATCTTTTACTTCTGGATCGTTATGTTTTTATCGATGGGCGCAACAAGCTTTAGATACAAGTGTTGATCATCCTTTATTACCGTTAATTTGGCAAAAATTTTTTGGTTTATACCTTGATAGGATCCCGTTAAATGGGTTTGTATTTATTTATTGAATTTGTGTATTAATAATTAAAATAATTTCTTTTAGGAACGTTCGAGTGGTTTGTTTAGGAAGCAAATTTTTTGAGGGGGTCATTAATTTCCAATTCCAAAAACGATTAAAAAAACACCTACAAGATTGCGTTAATTATTACAAGGAACAAGTTGAGGAATGTTCGATTAATGACAATGCTCAAAAATTATTTTTTGAGTCATGTTATGAGTACGTTTATCATGAATTAAGTTTGCAAAGTTAAAATTATTTTTTTTTTTAGATTATTTCGAGCTTACAGCTTGTGGTTGGAAGAACCAACACTTCAAGATGAAAATATTTACCTTCCAAGACTTCCAACTCAATGCAAACCACAATTACTTGCTTTTATTATGCAAGGAAATACGGTAATAGTACATTAAAAAACAAGTTTCGTAAGAAATGCACGAATACAAGTTGAAAAACGAGTGGCGAAGCCACGACTTTTTTAATGAATGAGTGCTTTAAGTCTTATGAAACGTGTTTTTTATGCTATTTTTTGTAATTCGCGTTTTTATACTTTTTTTTAACAAAAATAAAGTAAATTATGGCAATGTAGGGAAATAGGTATGTAGCAGTTGGTAACACCGGAACACTTGAAAATAGAAACTTTGAATTGACAATTAGAAACTGTCAAAACACAAAATATATTCACCTGAAAAAAAAAGTTTGATGTACAGGTGGGTTTGCAGGGTATCTCAGTTATTATGAAAGATAGAAAGTTGCGGCTTTCGCGAACCTGAGCTACTTTTTTGTGAAACTTACAATGGGGCAAACCAAATTTTCATAGCCCTCTTCGTTTTTGATATACAGGGAGTGTTTGAAATTTACGATTTTCAGACACCACCTGTATCTCGGCTATCCGCAAACTTACTAAAAAAGTAAAAACGGGTTCTAATAGATTTTTTCACGTAGAATCCAATGGTACACGTAGAATTTTTCTAGTCATCACGGTTTTTGAGTTATAAACACAACTCAAATACTGAATACTCAACTTCTAAAATACTTAACTCTATATAACTCAAAAACCATGATGACTAGAAAAATTCTACGTGCACCATTGGATTCTACGTGAAAAAATGATCAGCCGAGATACAGGAGGTGTCTGAAAATCGTAAATTTTGAAACACTTCCTGTATATCAAAAACGAAGAGGGCTATTAAAATTTGGTTTGCGCCATTGTAACTTTCACAAAAAAGTAGCTCAGGTTCGCGAAAGCCGCAACTTTCTATCTTTCATAGTAACTGAGATATCCTGCAAACCCATCGAAATTTGGACACCTGTACACCTCCCAAAATACGAAAAATTGCTCAGAGTCAATGTCCTCATCATTGTGGACCTTGTATTCGATGCTAAGAACGTGATTAAACATCCAGACAACTAGAAAAATTAATGACCCAATGTCACCAACTTGAACTGGTTCCATAAAATGTTACTAAAATCTCATTACAGCACCCGTTTGAGTACTGTTATAGCTTTCATTACCGTAGCGAATTACAAAAATAATATAATAATTATATATAGTGACAAGTCTAGTGCAAGTGTAAAATTAACACTATACCAAGAACTAGAATCACTTGGGTTAAGCCGTCTTGAGAGACGTGCGACTAAACCCGAATGTTTCTAGTTCTAGGTATAGTGTTAGTTTTAGTTTTACAGTAGCACTGTCACTAGAATTAATATTGGACTTAGAACTAAAAATATTTGGGTTTAGCCGCCCGTCTTTCAAGACGGCTAAACCCAAATGATTCTAGTTCTAAGTATGATGTTAGTTCTAGCAACAGTGCTAGTGTAAAACTAGAATTAATACTAAATCAGAATGTTTCTACTTCTAGGTCTAATGTTAGTTCTAGTTTTAGTTCAATAAAGATTTTAATAATTTAGCGCTGAATAACAATTAAAACTAGAACTAACACTAGACCTAGCACTAGAAACATTCTAGTTCTAGGTCTAGTGTCAGTTCTAGTTTTACACTTACACTGTTTTACACTTGCGCAGTGCTAGTGTAAAACTAGATCTAACACTAAAACTTTTAATATTTATATTAATGACATATTTAAGTGTTTTAAACACGCTAACTGTTTAATGTATGCAGATGATCTAAAGATCTTCTGCCGTGTGTCAAATCCTAGAGATTGTTCTGCTCTTCAGCGTGATCTATACGAACTTGCTCAATATTGTTGCACAAACTTCATCACCATGAATTATAGTAAATGCTTTACAATTACTTTTACAAAAAAGCCTGGTCCCATACGCTTTGACTACATCATTGGAGGGAAGTTGTTGAACAGGGTTACTTCTATAAGAGATTTGGGCGTGACGTTTGATAGTAAGCTATTATTCAGTGAGCACGTCGATTCGGTGGTTAGCAAGGCTTTTCGTATGCTTGGTTTCGTCATGAGATCGGCTGCTGATTTTACCGACACTAATTCATTAATGACTCTCTATTATACGTATGTATTTAACATTTTGAATTATTGCACTGTTGTATGGAATCCACAATATAATATATTTGTGGAACGACTAGAGCGTGTCCAAAAGAGATTCGTTCGTTTTTTATGCTGGAAATCTCATACTACCTATGCTGACTACAACTCGGCGTGCCAATCTTTCCACTTGTTACGACTCGGCCAACGGCGACTTCCTAATGATATAATACTTTTATATAAAATAATTCATAATATTTATAAATCATCCTCGCTTACATCACTGATTAACTTCCACGTCCCGCCCAGATCGCTTCGTTTTGATTTTCTGTTCTTTACTACAACTCCGCGCACTAACTCCTATCAGCATTCGCCATTGCTGCGCTCTGCTCGCTCTGCTGACCGTCTTGCCATTAATATATTTGCGTACGATTCCTTAATCTCCTTTAAAAGAG